TATATATATATATATATTATTGCTTTAGGTATAAGATGATTTTAGAAAAGATTTTTTTTTGAATAATCAAGGTTAATATATTACTTCCTTAGACTATAACAACCTTATGTTTAAGCAATTATATATATCTTATTTTTTTTCATTAAACTCGGTATACATGTTACAAAGAATATTTTTAATTTAAACTCTATATGACAACTTGAGAATAAAAAAAAATATTTTTCACCATCAAATTAAGAAAAAAAAAATGATAAATCATACCCATAAAAAAGTTCCGTATACAAGAATTGTTTAAAATTTTTTCGTGAGAGTAAAAATGTAGTAAGTTATTTAAATGTGATATAATGATATAACATTCAATAATGTAATAAGATATATAGTTAAATAACTTGTATAGTAGATACTTTTAAATTACATGCACTAACATCAAGATGTGATACATTCTCTTAAATCCAACATATTCTTAGTGTTAAAACAAATTTTGATATGAAGATTTTATAAAATTATTAAAATTAATAGAAAAAATAAAACTTTATAAAAAATTGCTTTTTTTTAATTGATGTTTAAACTTTATTTATCAAAAAACACACCTTAATTATCATTAAATAAAATCAACTTAATTTTGAAGAGATCACGGAACAAGATCGAATTGCTCTCTATTATCGCCCAATGCTAATTGTGTCTCGCCTGTCAAACATAATATTTTTGTGGCTTCCATGCTTAGTGATTTTCCAAACTTGCTTTTTGTCATCTTCATACCATAACTTCTGAATCATCATTAGATTCAAAAACCCCAACCTCAATTCATAGCAATTTGTTTTAGTTTCCGTTATTCATTTTATTTATTCTACCATTTATTTTTTTTAATAGTTCTCGCTTGATTCATTCCTTCTCATGATTAGGCATGACAATCTAACCCGCCCCCGTGGGTACCTGCCCAAATTCACCCCAATTTGAATGGAAAAAACTCGTGTTTATCGAGTTCGAATTTTCCCCGATTGATAAAATCGGGGGCGGGGCGGGGACGAGAATGTTCTCCGTTAATCAATCCATCCCTTTCGTTTCCTATATCAACCTTGCCTTTTCTTCTTCTGCTAGGAACCACCCACTTCTCTCTCTCTCTCTCTCTCTCTCTCTCTTTCTTTTTGTCTAAATCCATGTTTGAATCATGACGATTATTGAGTTTATTTGCTTTTACTTTTACCATTTCTTTCCTATGCTAAACTAGGGTTTCTTTTGGGGATTTTCTTATTGTTGCGTTAATCGTCGTCCTGGATCCACCATTTGGCTTAATAGTTTCAGTTGTTCCCTCCCCTCACTCTTTTTCTTACTATGATTTGTTTTTGCGTTCTTTGGCGTACTAATTATGAGAGAATGATAGTAAGCCGTTTTTTGTTGCATCCATTCAAATCTCTTTGCTTCAACACGTGACATGATAGTAAAATAATTTGTCAAATTTCATACCTAATTTGTTGATTTTCGTCAACACGAGCACGTGATGTTACATGTTGATCGATTTTAATTTGGGTTATTTATAAGTACAAGGGCTCTGAAATTAGTTAAGGATCTCGAACATTGGATATTTAAACCTCCCTCGACTATAAAAGAATTGATAACTTGACAAAACGGGGGTTATGTGAATGCAACTATCTTTTCTCTTCTTTTTCCCCCCATCATTTTGAACTCAGCCTCTTGGATAGAGGGTTCATTATTCCCAACTTCTATTTAGGGTTCAAATTTTACTCTGAATTTGATATTTTGTCGAAATTTTACGATAGAAGAGCTAATGAACCATGTATGGCCCCTTATGAATGCCCCCTTCTGTTAGTTTTTAACTCGATTATTTTTTGCACTCTAGAAGCTTGTTAATGTCACTCTATGTAATGTTAATTGTTGGGATTACAGTTTTGCTCTGATGTGGGGCATTTGTATAGTTATCCAGACTCTAGACACTAGACTGACATTTCATTTTAACTTAGCTTGCATGTCTTCAACTTTTGGAAATTGGCTTGTCTTCGGTATTACATTATATGGTTGCCTCGTTCTTTGTCCTTTATTTACCGACTTATAACTGGATATATATATTCTAAGCCTGTAAGTGAGGCAACAAACCAGAATCTTACTCTGTTCAATTGCTTTGTAATGCCCCGCAATCTTCCTTGGTTATTATTCTCCTTTGAATATCTTGCTTTTGCCTATTTTTGGTATCTTCTGTTCTGTAAGCCCTTCTTAGTTCTTAGTTCCACATCCTATGCTTAGTTTAATCGTATGTCAAATTTGAATGACTCACATTTGTTATAAGGGCAAAAAAATATTCTTATAGCAAATTTTAACTACTTTTGATTGCCTCATTAAACAAGCTCTTAATAAAATATTTTTATTTTTTTTTAATGTATTATCTTTTATTTTATTTTTTTTCATTTATAACCGGGACAGTTTAGAAAGAATATTACAAGATTAATGAAACTTTCCTTCAAAATATTTTTATCTTTAATACATGATCTTTAAGTTGTATTTTTTTTCCGTTTAGAAATAATATTATAAGATTAATAAAACTTTCCTTAAAATATTTATTTTTGTCATAAACATGGTCAGTGTCTCGAAGTTCACAACTTGGTTCAAATATAACCGATTTTAAAATTTATTTTTAAAATCGGTCACAATTTAACTGATTTTAAATCATGTCTTTTTTACTACTTTTAAGATCGGTTATATAAGAACCGATTTCGTATGTGACATACAAAATCAGTTATTAGATAACCGATCTTAAATATCCTTTTCCGTTTCTACAATTTCGGCCTCCACTCTCTGCTTCGTTCGTTCAGGTTCGTTTGTTCGTGCTTATCATATTTATTTAAAAGAAAAAAAGAAGAAAAAAAATAAGAATGGGGGCGGGGGCGGGGGCAGGGCGAGGAAACCCGAACCCTGCCGAGAGCGGGGATAAAGACCTAAATTTTACCCCCAATAAGTATTGGAGACGGGGGCAAGAACGTAAAACCCGCTCTCGCCTCGCCTCGTTGCCATGCCTCCGCATGATCAACCACCAACAATTTTAATAGCACCAAAGTGGTTGCCTTTCCCATTCAAAATTCACCAAATTGCTTGATCTCAAAGCTTCCTAGGACACCCCCCTCCCCTCTCTTTTTCCCCTTTTTCAACTTAAATCTGTCGAACACAACTGCCAGTTGATATCATCGTCGAAAACTTAAATGGTAGGTCCTATTAATGCCCCCATGAGACACCTCATCAGCTACGAACCTCCCCATATGTCACCACCACCAAGTCTAATCACAGCCAAGTTCAGTTTGGTTTACAATCACAAACAACCCGATCAATACAATTTCTTAAGGGATTAAAATGTAAAATAAAAAATAATCTTGTAAAAATCCGACCCATTATTATTAGAATAGAAAAAAATTACAGTGTTATCTTTTACATCTAGACCCTCCTTAATTTAAAATTACACTAGATTCTCTTGCATGTTCTTTGCTTTGTTGTTTTTAAGAATATCGTGTAGTTGACACAAAAAACGTAAAACAAATTTACGTAATTTTTTAAAGTAAGAATAACATGTAGATTAAGAATAGTAGGTGTAATATTTGAATGAAACATGCATCCCATGCACAAGACATTACGTTGGATATCATTCTTTGTCTAACTATCTGAGACAATTTTAATCGAGTTGGATCGATTTAATACGAACAAACAGTGTTTTTTTTTTTTTTTGAGTATTTAAAGTAGTTGATCCACTCGGTAATATTCCTTTATATATCCTAAAGTCCATCAACTCCTACACACGCGGGCTGTTAACAGCTTTCCAGCGATGTTGAATATCTTCAGCAATCCTGTTTGCATCAATAGATAGACCAAGCAGGCCACGTTTAGTGAAACCCACGGCATAGAGGCCATTTTCACCTTTCCATCCATTTGAGAAAGCTTTCCGGGGCAATCCATCCTTCTCACAAAACATGTCACTGTCCTGGTCACCAAAAAAATTCAAAATTCCCAATCATTATGTGCTAATCATATTTCATTCATGTCAGTGATGACATTAAGTGCCAAAACTAAGCCAATTAGCCAAAAGCCCCAAATTAAGTTAGCAACTATTGAAGGAAGTACCTTCAACCAAGTGGGTACATTGCTTTTGTAACCAGTTGCCAGAATGATGACATCGAAATTCTCTGTTTTTCCATCTACGAACTCCACTTTATGCTTTGCTAGTTGTTTAATTCCGCGGCACACCTATACACATTAGACAATATAATGTTGGAAATAATAAAACTAAATATAAAAGCCTTTTTTTTTCTTTTAAATCTTTACCTTAAAGCCAAAGGCAAATTTGTTTTGTTTGATTAGGACAAGAACCAGAATACGACGAAAATTACTTTGACTTTGATTGAGAAAGGAAGAAATTATCCAACCTTAATTTTTCCACCTTTTATGTGAGCAAGTGTCCCAACATCCAAAACTGGGGTCTTGCCGTACAAGTTCTTAAACTCTAGAGGTCCAATTTTGGGACGATTAAGTCCAAATTGAGCTGTGTCTCCCAGAATGAGATGTGACATTAGAAGTAAAAATTTATCCACGATACGTATGGGGAACCATTTGAGCAAGCTCATAGATAAACCAAAAGTTGATTTCCCAAACATCTGCTGGGGCAAGATATGCACCTGCACTCAAAACAAAATATCACGTTTATAATTTAAAATAAAAAGATCTTAATTAAAAGTTGCTCAAGAACCTTTCTAAGAGACACGAGACTAGTGACCATAATCTTTTCATGCTTCCAGCGATTCCCGTAACCACTGAAAATTTTTCTACGACAGAAAATAACATGCTACCAAAGATTTTGGGTTGTTGACCACGTTTGCGCATGGACCGTGACTATAACTTTTTTTTCAGTTTCTTGTAAAAAAAAAAAAAAGCATTAAAATCTTATTTTTAACATACGTAAAATATATATGTATCTGTTATTAATGAGAGTACGTGTAAACTAAATTCTAATTATATTACTAAGTAGTAGCTAGAGATATATGAAGATGTTGAGTATGTTATTTAGATCACAAGTTTAAAGTGTACTCACCGTATCTCTGACCACAAGGGATGGACGAGCATTATGGTTGCAAAGATCTAAACAAACCTCCATGCCTGAATTTCCACATCCAACCACCAAAACATTCTTCCCACAAAACATGCTACCACTCTTATATGAGCTAGTGTGTAAGATAGGCCCTTCAAACTCAGTCATTCCTTCAATTTGGGGCACAATCTCCTCAGCATTCTCTCCAGTAGCTACTATGAGCCACTGAGTAACATATTCTGTCTCCTCCTTTTTGAAACCTTGAGTCTTCACCCTCCAACAGGCACATCTATGATCAAATTTGGCACTTACCACAGTCTTGCTTAAAGCTGGTTTTATGTCAAAATGGTGAGCATAGGCCTTCAAGTAGGCCAAGAATTGTTGTTTGGTTGGATAAGAGGGAAAGTTTTGGGGGAATGGCATTAGAGGAAGTTGGCAGAATTGCTTAGGGAGATGAAGGCATAGGCGATCATAAGTCTTGAGCTGCCACATTGAAGCTATGCAATCAGCTCTTTCAAGTATTAGGCTTGGAATGCCTTTCTGTTTAAGACATGCTGCTGCAGCAAGCCCTGATGGACCACCACCAACTATCACTGGTCCTGCCACCACTATAGACCTTCTCATTTTTCCCATGTTTACCTCAATATAATCATGCACACTTTTTCCTTCCACTTCCTTCAAGTACTCCATCAAAAAGCATCACCAAAGGGGGTTCATAATTTCAAGAACTTGAAGCATGGATAAGCTTCATGGGGTGCGTCGTTACAAGGTGAAACCATAAAATCAAAGTTTTTAAATTGCGGTTGCTGTTGCTTTTGCTGTTTTTCCGCAATCCTTGATGTGATGAAAATCTGCATGTAAATGCGGTCGCAATTGTGGTTGCAGAGACTCCAAATACTTGATGTTGCGACCGAAATTGAGGTGACAGTCCTTTTTTTAAAACTTTGCATAAAACAAAACCATATTAGTACTTCGCATGAAGTTGAAACTCGAGATAGAGTATGGTTGGATTGATCTGAAGATCAAATCAACATGGTTTGCTTTAATAAACTGAGGCTGATAAGAGTTTGAACTTTGGTTTTGTTGAATGGAGGAGAAAGCAGGAAGCAACAGAGTCTAAACATAAACAAATAGACATCTAGTTAAAGGGATTTTGAATTGGGGTGTGGATTCCATGTATACATATATGTATGTATATATATTTGAATTGGTGACCGATAATGAGTGTTAAAGGAGTTTGGTTTGGTTTATAAGTGGGACATCTCCGCGTTAATGATAACAAACATTAACAACAAAACTTTCACCACCCAAAAAAACCAAATACACAAACACGTATTTGGAGTCGGCAAAAGTTCGGTCGTTTTTTTTTTCTCTTCTCTTTTTAATATGGTTAATGTTCAATTTTTGTTCCTTGATGATCTTTTGCAGCAACCACATCTCATAATTTTTCAATTAGAAAAGATCTCTCCATCAATTTAATTATCATCCAATTACTAACAAAAGTTAGCAATATGACCTACTATTTATGTACGGAATATTACACTTTATTAAGTATAGCATCTTAATGACCCACTAGTGATTTAAACCTACTTAAACACGTCAATTTATTATGTTTAAATATCTAATTTGATACTTAATCTATCTATATTAGAGGTTTAAATAAATTAAACTCACTGTTGTATCTATTAAAATGTTAATTTAGTACGGGTCATGTCGTGTATAAAATAAAATTTTGTTAGTAATTGCATGATGGATTGAAAGGGCCTTATTTTCTAAAAAAAGATCAAACAAATTAGGGGATTCCGTTGCTGCAAAAAGTTATTAGGAGACAATGAACCGCACATTAATTATAATAAAAAGAACAAAAGTGTAATTACACCTAAAACATAATAGGTTGTGGTGTTCTCTTATACTAACATGTTTGCGTTCACATTAATTTTGGTTGGATGTGAATTAATGAAAGCAATAATCAGTTACTTTTGCATCAATTTTCATATAATTTTTGTCTAAACTTAAATCATAAATGTAAAATCATAAACTCTAAACCCTAAATCCTAAACATGTTACACGCTAAAATTGCTGCACAAATGTTGCTGGTTTAGTTCACATCATAAGAATTGCGTTTAGCATTGGCAAACCAAAAAAATGCATTTGATAGTTGAAAGATGTTTCCAAACAATTCCCCTTTCAATTAGTTCCGAATATATTCATAGTTTTGGGGTCATACTAAAACCTCAAAATTCTTTCCACAACCTAAAGAAAATTTAAGATATCTTGTTGAAAGTGTATATAAAAACAATGCAGTTGATTCTATATTTGTTTGACTGTTTTAATATATAGTAAAATAATCAATCTGATCAAATTAAAAAGAATGCTTTAAATATAGTCATGTTAACTTTAAACATCATTATTGTTGAGATAACGAATAAAATCACATCAAGGAAAGGACAAATAACAAGTTAGTGATTGAGAACTCTTCTCAACCCATTATCCAAAAACTTATGGTAAATAAAAAGTAAAAAGGGTGAAAAAAAATGAAGCAGTTTTGCAGCAATAAGACAAATCCCAACAACGTTTGAGAGTTGTAGCAAAAAATGATATGATTACTTGGGTGGACTCTCTAAGAACCAGATAATGCAAAACAAAAGAAGCTAACAGTACTCTTTGAATTTTGACAATCCTCATTTGCCACTGAATATATATATATTCATCGAATGATTTAGCTGAAGAATCAAATCATTGAAAATGTTCAGCAATAATAGGAACGAATCACTTCTTTGACTTCATTCAATTTCTTGTTTACGACTAAAACTGAATCTACAAAAATAGCTTTCAATAATAATTATATAAAAGCAAAAGAATGGATTGAAGGTATTCAATTTTAGTTTTTTATTTACAATTTTATCTATTTATTGTACCGGAAGATGAAGTGCTTAATATTAGTAGCATATCATATTATAGGAGATGGTTGGCATAATCAAGCCATTTAGAAAATAAGAAAATTTATTCGGTACATGTTTATTTATTTCTGCTTTTCCCACAATGAAGCTAAATGTTACACGATGTAAGTTTTGGAACATGAGCTTCAAAATTCATTACTCAATGACTCAAACCTAGCGAAATGTAGAATGTTGTATTTGTGTAATAAAATTCTAAGTGAGAGTGATTAGTGAAATGGAGAATGTTGGAAAGAATGATGTGTAAAAAAAATCAATAGATAAATTTTATTGTGAATGAAGTATGTCTAACAGGATCCTCTCCTGATTTAAGCTAAGAGAGAGGATTCCCATTCTTTTTCAAATAAAAGTCAAGAAAATTACTTATGATCAATTCAGAAAAATATATATATTTGTAAGTTACTTAGAATCACTTATAATTAGAAGAACTTACACAACTATTGACAGTTTGACACCCTTGAAAAGTTTTTACCTTTTTTTTAAAGAATTTTTTTTACCTTTTTATGTAATAAATAAAAAATAAAAAAGAGAAGAAGATGATTGGTATGCTCTCTTAATCAATATTGTACCAAGGAACAATTTATTTGATTTGAGATGACTAATATATTTCATGTCAATTAATCTGAAAGCAATTATTGTGGATATATACAGTAACAAAAGAAATCCATTTGTTTATCCACTTTTCTCTCTCTTGGTTTTTGGTCAATAGATGGAGAAAGAAACACATCATGGCCTAAGGCCCAAATGCAAGCCCTCGGTATCACTATGCAGCCCAACGTGTCCGACTAGACAAAAGCAAGTACCCACGAGAGCCCAAACCCACAACTTGATATAACTGCCTCGAGAGTATGGATTTCGACCCACTTTTCCAATTTCCAGTAAACATATCATTTATTAACATTTTTCTTAGATTGTGTTTGGATAAAGGAATTTCAAAAAAATTTTAAATTTATATATATATATATATATATTCTTTGTTGAGATTTTTTGTTAATCGATCAATTCCTTTGAGTTGAGATGTGCTATCAAGACTTGGTATAATCTTCAACTCATTCAACAATCCATCTACCACTTCTTCAACTTTTTTTTTATCTCTATCTTCTTTTTGATTACTCGCACAAAATCTCCCCACACTTACTTTGGTAGTTTTTTTTTTTCTTTGTTGTGGAACTACATTCTTTTTAAGTAAATGATCAAACTATAACTCCTTTCTCTTTATTTGCTTCCTTGCTTTTGATATCATTTGTACTAAATACATTCAAATTTTAAATTTTAAATTTTAATTTTAATTTTTAAAATTTTAAATTTTAAATTTTAAATTTTAAATTATTATCAATAGCTTTAAATTTTTAAAATTCCTTTTAAAATTTATAATCAAATAAGTTTAATCAACGTTGTGAAACTAAATCAAAGTTATTTTTATTTATTAATTGAAAAATTGATTTGTTTTGAGTTCTTTTCAACAAATTTTCTTTCAAATCTACATTAAATTATTAAATTTAGACATTTTTAAAACTAAGTTATGTAAGTTTAGTCCTTTTTTACAATGATTTTTATTTATTTTTTCATTATTTTTACAATGAATTTAATTTTTCTCAACCTATTAAAAAATAAAATTTAAATTATGCCTAATTTTGAATTTTGAATTTCATTTATTTTTTAATAGTTTTAAAATTAAAAAAATTAATTTTAAAACTTATAATCAAATAAATTTATTCAAAATATTTTAAAACTATATTACAGTTATTTTTATTTATTACTTGGAAATTGGATTTCTTTTGAGTTTTTTACAAAATATATTATAAAAAAATTATACAATATGTGTTTGGATAAAGGAATTTCAAAAAAATTTAAAATTTTATAAATTTTAATTGTTTCAATTAAAATTTATTTATTTTTAATATGCTTTTTTTTTGGATAAAGCAATTAAAATTCTTGATTTTTAAATTTTCTTATTTGGATGAAGAAATTAGACTTTTCTATTTTCTATTTTGATTAAATAACTAAATTTTTATTTTTAAGACTTTATATTTGAACAAAATAATTAAATTTATTTTATTTATAAAATCTTTTTATTCATTATAAAATAATTATTTATATTTATAATTTCTTTTATTTAAATTAAATAATTAAAATTTAATATTTGTATTTCATTAACATAAAATTATTTACTAATTTTAATCAAATAGGTGTAAAGCTTTCCAAAATAAAAATAAAATAACCTATGTTCAATTTGAATTTTCTAACTACATAAATTAAGAACTTCTAAAATCAACTTAAAAAAAAAACAAGAGATAATATAAATATTATATCTAAATAAATCAATAGCAAAGACTAAAAATTTGCTAACAGTAACAATATCTATTTTTCAAGTCATTATTACAAATTATTTACGATATATCACACATTGTTGTATTATTCAAACGTATAGAAGCTTCATATGATTTAATCCTTTTCTATTTTCTTAATTAATTAATATATATATATATATATATATATATATGTACTAG